ATTTGTGGATGTTCTTTTTTGATATCACACCAAAAGTCACTAAGTGTAGTTTAATATAATTTTAACATGGAATCTTAAACTATCATTGAATATTCCTTATGTTATATTAAATTCCCTTATTCTACCCTGCACACTGAATGGATCTTTTACATATGCATGATTCTTTAATATCATCTGCTGCCCTCTGGAAAAACTGGCTGAGTTATATAGACCTTCTTCAAATATTGACACATTTCATCGTATGAAATTATTAAAAAATCAGGTTTGTTAAAATGATCACGGATTCCAACAGAAAATTCTTGAAGATACGAGCTCATGGTAGTAGATACATGTTTTCAAAAACTCCAAACTTCACTTAAAAGTTCAAATTTTATCCTTGGCAATAAATACTGTCAGTTGTTTTCCTTACAGTATTATATTCACTTCCCTGATTTGTCAGAAAATGTCTGACAAATACATATGTCTGAATAACCAGTCTGTCAGTCATTCCTTCCAGTAAAAATCAGTGTTCCATGAAAAGAAGTTAGTTCAACTTGCAACTCAAACAATGGTACAACTGTTTTTCCTCAAAACAACTATCATATATGGTATGCAGAGATCTTTACATGTACCTTTCCATTTCATCATACAGGCTATTAAAGACATGTACTTAAGACCATAGATTAATTAATCATTTGTACTTCTTTGGCCAAACAGTCTTAATAACAACTGGCATTTTTTTTTTTCATCGTAAGTGTGTGAGCATGAAGAATAAAAGGAAGACAGGAACAGTTTGTTGCACCACTTTGTTTTGTACAAGAGACCAAGTTTTACCCACGACTATTTTGCATATAAATGCAAAGAAACACAATGTAAACAAAATCTTAGTATTAGAAAGAAAATAGATTTGACCTCATGGAGCCCCTTAAAGAGTTTCTGGAACCTCCATAGACTACTTTATGACTATCACACTATACTAACGATAACAATCCTGAGCTTTTCCTATCAGTATTATAAATCCACTGGCTCATTCAACCAATAATTACAGAGGGCTCATTATATGGTGCCAAGTGTAACAAAAAATGCTGGGTACCGAGTGCCTGTTTCACTCACTCATGTAACCCAAACTCCTAGAAGAGCACTTGACACATAGCAGGCTTTCAATAAACATTAACTGATTTAATAAATAAATGGGTAGCTGTGATATATTTTAATCTAGATTTCAAAGTATTTTAGAGTACATTTCATACGCACACAAACATTCACATATTCTAATTATTTTTATTTTTTTCAATTTAACAGTTCTGTTAGGCAATATGGAACTTCTGTCCTAATCATACTTGGAGCAGCTCAACCTTTACACCATTCTTAAATGATTATAGAAACAGGTAGTCCTCACTTTGCAGGATACCATGGTAACTGAAACTAGGGTTCACTGGAACCATGTGCCCATTCTGTGCTTTTCCAAGGTAACAAATTTGTGGTAACATGGTACTGTGCAAAGCACCTTAGTGCAAATGTACGGGAAAACAAATGCCAAAATTTAAGAGACTTTTTAAAACCCATGAGTCAGAAAAGCAAGAAGAAACTGATAATATTGTTATCATTACTTTACAACCTCTGTATCAATTTTTATACAAGCTAATTATCACATACTAAGATTCAATATTGTTGTTGTTGTTGTTGTTATGTGCCGTTGAGTCGGCCCCGACTCATAGTGACCCCTCCTTGGGTTTCCGAGGCAGTATCACTACGGAAGCAGGATTGCCCAACCTTCCTTCCGAGGAGTGGGTGGTGGGTTTGAACCGCCAGCCTTCTGGTTAGCAGTCAAGTGCTTTAGCCACTATGCTACCAAAGCTCCTAAGATTCAATATACTTGAATCTAAATGTTCAATTCATATTTCTAGGATTCCACAGGGCTCTGAACATAATTAATTGGTACTAACATAAAATATCGGAAAGAAGGTTGGGCAATCTACTTCCGTAGGGATACCGCCTCGGAAATTCAAGGAGGGGTTACTATGAGTCAAGTCCAACTTGATGGCAACAACAACATCATAAAATAATTACTTTCATACATTTATAAAGTCTTTCCAAAATAACCTTCATCCAGCTAACCATTTTATTCTTTAGGATTAATCATATAGGTTACTTCCTTACTGAGATCTGCACTGACTAACTCCCCAGATTTAAATAGGTCTATTGTTCCATTAAAAGCAACTCTGGTGGCAAAGTGCGTAAGGCATTTGACTACTAACTAGAAGGTTAGCAGTTCAAACCCACCAGCCACTCCACAGAAGAAGACTGGGCAATCTACTTTTGTAAATTATCACCTCGGAAACCCAAAGGGGATCATTACTAAGTTGGAATCAACGTGATGGCAGTGAGTTTGATTTTTATTGCCCCATTGGGGAGTTCTGGTGAGACAGTTGTTAAAGCATTCAGCTACAAACCAAAAGTTTCATGGTTCAAACCCACCAACCCTGCTCTGTAGAAGGAGGAGGTAGTCTGCTTCCATAAATTTACAGCCTTAGGAACTTCCATGGAGCAGTTCCACTCTGTCCTCTAGGATCACTATGAGTCAGAATCAACTAGATGGCAATGTTTTTCTTTGTTTGTTTTTTAATTGCCCCATTTAAGGAACCTGGTGTTATAATAGTTAAGTGTTTGGCTGCTAATCACAAGGTTGGCTCTTCAAATCTACCCAGGGGCTCCATGGGAGAAAGACCTGGCAATCTGCTCTCATAAAGTTTACAGCTTAGAAAACCCTATGGAGCAGTTCTACTCTGTCACATGGGGTCACTATGATTTGAAAATGATTCAACACCACCTAACAGTAAAAACAGTTGCCTTCATTTAGCCCTAGCCTCCTCATTTTATCTCACTAATCTTTTTCTTTCTTTTTTTCACTGTTTTTCTCAGTATTCTTTATCTTCATAACCCTTTTCAAAGTGTGCTACTACATAATTGATTTCTCTGTATCTTGCATTAAGGATTAAGCTACATGAAGGCAGAAACTAAGCCTAATTTGTTCACCTATGTATACCCAACAGTTAGTATAATACCTGTACATACTAGGGAGCTCTGGTGGCATTGTGCCTAAGGCATTTGACTGCTAACCACAAGGCTGGTGGTTCAAACTCACCAACCACTCCTCAGAAGGAAGAGTGGGCAATCTACTTCCACAGAGATACCACCTTGGAAACCCAAGGAGGGGTCGCTATGAGTCAGGAATGACTTGACACCAGTGAGCTTGGTTTGTTATTTTTTGTACATAGAGTTTAATAAATATTGCAGTAAGAAGGCTCCTTTTCCAAAAAAAATACAGTTGTGTAAATAAAATAATAAATGAATGATCATGTCAAGCCACCTTCTCAATTTTTTTTTCCCCTTATCATAGCTTAGGAACACAGATAGTAGATTCTAGTACCAAAATCAAATAAACTGAAATAAAAATGAAACACTTATTCTCTGGACACTTTAGTTTTGCTTTCTTCTAAACACTGCTCTTATCTATAGTTAGTCCAATTACAAAAGAAATTTTAATTTTGCTTTTTAATCCATCTTCACATACCTCTAGCCAAAAATCAACTGTGTGTGTCAAAACTCTCAATGACTTGAGATTTTGGACTTAACAAAAACCATATTCTTTCTAAGTGTATGGAAGTTCCACTGGTTACCTAAATACTCACCTGAAAGTTCCCTTATAACTTTTTAAGAGGGCGTATCTGAGTTTCAATACTAGTACAAAATACAGGCCCTCACTACATCAAACACTAATCTGTATCATAAAGCTTCATTGTTTTAAGGGAGTAATTTTATCATTATTGCAAGGGACAACCTCTTTCAGGTTATAAAATTTCCTTTAGTTAAGTTGGTTCCTCCAGCTATCATAGATTTACTCCATGAAAATAACAAGCATGCTTAAATTTGAAATGTTATGTTACCCTTGGAGCTCTGATGGCGTACTGCCTAAGGCATCTGACTGCTAACCAGAAGGATGGCGGTTCAAACTCACGAACCACTCTGTGGAAGGAAGACTGGGCAATCTACTTCTGTAAAGATTTACTGCCCTGGAAACCCAACAGTGGTTGCTATGAGTCAGAATCAACTTGAGGGCAGAAGGTTTGTTTTGTTTGTTTGTTTGTTTGTTTATGCTTTCCTTACTCCCCTCCACCACTTCTTAAATTCCTTCAGCTGGCTACTGACTAACCACAGAAAAGTAATAGCTCTTAAGTTTCAGACAACTTCAATGACCCACAAACTCCATTTCAGAACAGGAAGGAAAGTATCATAGGAAGCAAGGATGAGCAGCCTCTGAGCAGTGATTTTGAACGGGTGCCACATGGGAAGGTAAATCAGAGACACATAATGACTCATCACTAATTGAGAATCACTGCCTAATGAGCCACTATTAAAAGTGTTTCTGATACTTCAATGGTGTTTATGATATGGGAAGTGTGACTAGAGGATAGGAGGGTAAGATTCAGAAACAGCACTTCATAACATACTAGGATAAAATTAGGTTACATCTAAACTATATGGCCTCATCTTATAAACTACAGGAACTAATATTTTTCAAAACAGACTTACATCAGTGTATGGGCTACATTTTCTAACTCTTTTCTTAATTCAATCAAATACTCTTAGAATTAGTTAACAATGTTAGGTTATACCTGGTGCTCCACTCCCCCCCACACACACACACAACCCTCCATCTCTATACTATACCAAAGATTTTTATCCTTTTTGAGGTTTTTATAAATATAAATTTTCCAAAATGTTATAAATTGTAAATATGTATCGTACTCTAAGAACAACAAAAAGACTCTTAAACATTAAATGTTTAAACAGTTCTGCTAAGAGTTAAGAAACTGAATGACAGTTTACAGATGAACACTAACAGTGGCTGAGCAACTAAAGAGCCTTGGGATAAGCAATAAACTCCACTTCTTTAGAATCTTCCTCTAATTATTAATGATCAAAAGTGGAACAGATGGGAAATTCTATTTAAACTATACCTTAAAATGTACTGTGATGTTCCAAGGAAGAGCTGAACTTGATGCAAGAAGATCAAATAGCAAACCAATTGGATAATGCCTAAAAATGAAAGAGTATATTTTAAGAAAGAATAAATATTTAAAGTTATAACTACAGCTCCAAAATAAATTTCCAGCATGTTTTAACATCAAATGTGAGACTACAGGTACAAATCATAGGAAGGTAACAGTTTACATAGTTATGTGCCAGGTCTAAGATGGGATACTTTCTAGGCATTGGTTGGTTTTTCCCCTAATCATTGGGTCCCCTCTGGAGCTTCAATATACATAATGTGATGTGCTAAGGCATACCATGTACACTGTTATGTTAAGGTACTGCAGTATCTAATCATCATCATCCCATTATTCATACTGGGCAAATGGCCTTTTAAGTTTATTTAAGTACACTTTTGATTTTTAAAATAAAATTCTAGAAAATTTTAAGAACCAAGAAGAGTACCTAAAAAAGCGTTCAAATCACCAGTCTATACTTTTTACTGTTAACACTATAGCCTATACATTTCCAATTTTTTACCTATGCATATATATCTAAATATAGATTATTACAATCTGCCTTTTGCAATAATAATATAATGTCAACATTTTCCCAAGTCAGTGAATATTCTTCTGTAGCCTAACTGCAAAGGTTTTCAAAAAATAAGTTTTGGACTTCCTCAATGAAAGAACATTTCCTAAGATAGCCATTAATCACAGTGAAGTAAATTATTTAGCAATAAACAAAGGTTAATAATACAAACCTTGTAGATTTCAAGGGACAAACCTTACTCTTTAAGTTAGCCTTTTAAAGAATAGCAATTTTTAGTGACGTAGCTTAGTTAGTGAATCAGAATTAAATAATACTCTCATCAAAAACAAAAGAGGAGTATATGATATGCACAGTCTTGTTCTTACCTGTTGAATATAGTAAAGTCACTCCTAGATTTAAGAGCTTCAAAATTTGAAAATACGTCTCTCTAATTTCCCTCCAAATGAGTGATCCATCACCTGACCAAGATGTGAATATCGGCTAATACTGTTTACAATGTTTGTATTTTTCTATATTATATAATTATGGAAAAATCAGTTACTAGATATCATGTGGGAGATCTGGTAACATAGTGCCTAAGGCACTTGACAGCTAACCAGAAGGTTGGCGGTTCAAACCCACCAACCACTCCTCTGAAGGAAGATGGGGCAATCTACTTCCGTAGTGATACTGCCTCGGAAACCCAAGGAGGGGTCGCTATGAGTCAAGTCCGACTCGATGGCACATAACAACAACAACAGACATCATGGACTTATTTAGGATGAGTTCAGAATAAATGATATGCTAACAAAATAAAACAGTGCGTAACTTTAGTCATATATGGACTGTCTATCTTAATAACGCTAAGCTAGTCTCTGTTGAAAAGGGAATAACACTAATCTTTCATAACTAAAAAATGAATACTGAAGAAAATTTTGAACTCCCTAAATCAGAACATTTCCTAATATTACCGTTACTTCAGAAAATGTTAAACCAGGAAAAGCCATCAATGACCTCAGCCAAAAACAGAAGAAAAAATAATAATTAAAAAAAAAAAAAAAGACTGCTCTATAGACATGCTATCAATTCTATCCTATCCTGGTCCTTCTCTCTAAACTGTTGAAACTATATAATGCCTTGTACTTTTCAAAACAGATTACATTTTTTTCTGAATGCCCTTTTTAGGCATCTGCAAATAGGTTAATAATGAATGTGGATCCTTAATAAATAAGGTTTGATTTACTTAGCATTTATAAACTTCAAAACTGACAGAACATTTTTCTTTTACCGAATTCTACATATCACTGCAAATATGTATATAAATAGAATGTCTTTACTAAATTATGTTGTTCACCAGTTGGATAGATTCATCAGGGATACCAATCAAATGACTAGCAATTCAGTGCTGTACAAATTCCCTGCCATTCTCAAACAGAACTGTAAACAAATTCTAAAATTCAATAAAATAATATCCTCAGCCAATCTAGAATATGATAAAATCATACACAATTTTTAAAAATAAATAATAAATACTTGGATCATAATACAAATCAACTACAGGAAGATTCATAATTGTCAATTACTTTTTACCCTCAATATTAAAATAAGAAGACTGTAAGTGCAAGAAGGAGCTCTGTGGTATAGTTCTAGTGGTGTAGTGGTTAAAGCATTTGGTTGTTAACCAAAAAAAAGGCTGGTGGTTTGAACCCATAGGTTGCTCCACAGAAGATGAGGCAGTCTGCTTCCATGAAGATTTAAAGCCTTGGAAACCCAATGAGCGTCGGTATAAGTCAAAATCGACTTGATGGCAGTCAGTCTGGTTTGGTTTTATAAGTGCACAGAACCTACAACAACTAGAAAATCAGTAGATAGCTTTTGAATGAATAAACCAAGGAAGTTCCATAGAAGCTTAACTTTCGCCATACTATTAAAATCCAGTGGACTCAATTTTAAGTTCTGTTTCTTTTTTGAGCAGCTCTACTATTTTAACAATTGAAACTCTGTGACATTTTTTGTAAAGGAATTCCAAAGAACAAAGAGAAAATTTAATTTTAAATAAATAAATAAAACTCATTCTATCTTACAATTGCCATATGGTTGCAAAACTTATCTTTTTTCTTATATATTGAAATATTTTGCCATCTCATCGTCCTAACAATTATTTTATCATTACTCAATTATTTCAACTATGCTAAAAAAGGCTAAAATAGTAAGAAAATGGAATAAATTAAATGCTTAGAATGATGACACAAAAATAAAGTAAATGATAATAATTGCATCTTTGTTTTCCATTTTCTTCCTGTATGGCCTTAAGTATTGCATCATCTTTTAAGAATACAGACTCCCCTTTGGCTCTCTGAGCAGCACCACAGCAATCAGCAAGAACAAGCACCTTACAAAAGGTGGCAAATATGAAGCCAAGAAGAAAGTGGTTGATTTATTTTCTAAGAAAGATTAATATGATGTGAAAGCACTAGCTATGTTCAATATAAGATGTACTGGTAAAACATTAGTCATAAGGACTCAAAAGCAAAAAAATAAACCCACTGCCACAGAGTCAATTCTGACTCACAGCAACCCTACAAGATAAGAATAGAACTGCCACATTCTGTTTCCAAGGCTGTAAATCTTTATGGAAGCAGACTGCCAAAGCTTAGTCCTGGAGGAGCTGGTGGATTTGAACTATTAACCTTTAGGTTACCAGCCAAGTGCTTTAACCACTGTGCCACCAGGGCTCTAAGAACTCAAGGAACCAAAATTGCATCTGATGGCTTCAAGAATGGTATTTTTGAAGTAAAGCTTGCTGATTGGCAAAATGATGAAGTTGCATTTACAAAATTCAACCTAATTACTAAGGATAGTCACAGCAAAAACTGTCTGATCAACTTCCTTGACATGGATCTTACCTTTGGCAAAATGTGCTCCATGGTCAAAAAATGGCAATATCATGACTAAAGCTCATGTTGATGTCAAGACTATAGATGGTTATTTGGCTTGTCTGTTGTGTATTGGTTTTATTAAATAAAAACAACAACAATCAGATTCAAAAGACCTCTTATGCTCAGCACCAACAAGTCTACCATATCCAGAAGAAAATGACAGAAGTCGTGACCTGAGAGGTACGGACAAATGACTTAAAAGAAGTGGTCAATAAAGTGATTCCGGACAGCACTTGGAAAAACACAGAAAAAGCTTGCCAGTCTATTTACTCTCTCCATTATGTGTTGGTTAGAAAAGTAAAAATGCTGAAGAAGACCAAGTCTGAACTGGGAAAACTCATGGAGTTTCTTGGTGAAAGCAATAGCTCTAGAAAAGCTACAGGAGATGAGATAGGGTGCTAAAAGTTCAATGAGCTGATGGCTATGAACCACCAATCAGTTCAAGAATTCAAGAATCTGTTTAAAATTTAGACACCTCAGGTAACAAAATATCTTCCTGCTGAAAAAAAAAAAAAGAAAAGAAAGAATGGAGATTCTGGCCTTAGCTAGAGAATTAAGTTAAGAATTAGAATTAGAATCATTAAGAATTCTTAACTAGTTAAGAATTCAGAATTTTCCATTTTCCAACAAAATAGCAAAGAGAAGAAAACTGAAAGATAAAGATGTTTTACAGTCACTAAGGACAAAAATGACATGTTATTCTTACCCAACCAGTCATTCAACAAAAAGGATTTCATCACAGAGTATTTTATGACAATAACCCGGGCCTTCTATTTTGCTAACAGGATGCATGACAGTATTTATCCATTTTTTTTATGCACTGCAATTTACCTGATTGTCAGTGGGGAAATACCGAAGGCAAATTTGTACACAAAGATGCTTGACAGGGATCAGACAGTATAAAAACTATCTAAAAAGAAATCACTAGATTGAGCATTCTGATTGGTGTTTATTAATACAAAAATGAAAGTATTTTACAACAAAGTATTAGCTGTCATGCTTATGCTTTATAAATTCTCCAAGTATTGCTGTTAAATGCAAGAAGAGCCAGAAGTAATAAAAAGCCAGAATCTCTTAGAGATCTATTTGAAATCTGGAATCAGCATTTACAAGATACATATCACAAACATTTTAGGCTTAGGTATAATAACTGATAAGGAGCTCTGGTGGTGTAGCGCCTAAAGCATTTGACTGCTAACCAGAAAGAAGGCTGGCAGTTCAAACTCACTGTCCTGATTACCTAGTGCCACTCTGACAAGAATACACCACAAATGGGATAGCCGTTAACAAACAGGAGTTTGTTCTTAAAATTTGGAGCCTTTAAGTCCAAGTTCAAAGTGCCAGGCTCTAGGGGCTGGGTGAAGGCCCCTCAACCTTGGGGTCCAGCTCTGCCTCCTGCTCCAGGCCCACTGGAGCTAGAGACATTTCTTCACTCAGGCAGCTGCTGGCTGCTACGGCTGAGAAGTCCCAAGGTTGACAAGTAAAAATGCAGTCTCGACGTTACCAAACCACATGGCAGGCCATTTAAGTCCATTTTAAGTCCCAAGGTCAGCAGAGCACAGCAGGCTTCTGAGCAACAACACGGCTACATGCAGG